CTCGCTGGGTCGTACGGTTCCACTCGTGGGTCACGCTTGCTGGTCGTAACAATACAACAAAATCGTCAACCTTTGGAATTCGATAAATTTTCTTGCTAGGATTTTATAGATCTGATGACATAATCAACGTAAACGATAAAATGTAACTTCAGGAGGTTCTAAATATAACATGGTAGGTGATATCGTAATGAAATCACAATAACACAACTGCTGAACGATTGGACGTCAGTACGCGAGTGTAATAATCGCAATCGTATTGAACTTAGAAATAGGATAATCCGTATTGTGATGCTCAGAACCGGAACTGCGACCATCAACGAAATACACGATAAATTGGCAGCCGCAAGAACCAATGTTTATACACAGAAATAGAGCATGTTTTATAGAAAGTAATAGGCCATATCAATGGTTGAAGGACTGTGATGTGTGACACTGACCTCGAAATTCTTTGTACACTTTAAATGCAATAAATATGCATCACACTCACCACACCTTGAATTGACCACAGGATTTCTGTAATTCAGTCTGGGCTTTGCACTCAATCGTTCAGACCTTCATGGGACTTGTTCATTCACAGGTAATTCTTCCGTAGCGGCTTGTTGTTCAACATTCTGTTCATCAGTCGTATCAGGTTGCTCAGTATCTAAAGAAACATTATTGGACTCGAAACTTTCATCATGAATTGGAGCTGACTGACTTGGATTGTCAAAGCGAATTTGGTCCATATGCATAGTATACGATTCGAATGAAGTTCGTGTGCTATTCTATCTGAGGTTGTTCTATTTCGGGTATTGTTATTGCGCAAATTCTGGAATCCCATTTTGAATACTGTTCCAAACACTACAAGGACCATCGTCTAATCACGTAACCGTTTGCGCAGACGCATCACATGTACCAACTCAGATGTAATGTTCGCCCGGTGTACCATTGGTCCATCTTCGTGAACTTTGCTTGGATGACATGAAACTGTATCTGGTCGCACCTGAATGCGGTTACGTATGCCTGGATCACCACTGCTAGAGGTCACGAAACGTAGATGTCTGTTGTGTTAATAAACGACCATCCATAACAAAATAGGGCGAAGCATGTGAAGAGCGAGAGCTGACATTTGGTGATCGTCCAGTTGACATTCGTTTGGTAAAACAAAGTAATTCAAGAAAGGAATAGTTTATGCACGAAAATCATGCTTGCCACTAAAACAAGATAAAAATCAAAGCTACTACTTTCAAAGTTTCTCTGACCTGTCACTTGTGGTGGGCTGACAACTGTGACATTAGTGAAGCACAGAATCGTCAGCAGATTTTTTAATAATCTGCTTGAAACTGCTCCCGAACGTCAATAGACGCTAACCGTTAATTACTACTCGTAGTTAGATGTTTCTTCCCCTGTGTCCATTAGACTATTCATGGTAGCATACAGCTTTTACTTTCCCGACAGTTAGATTTTCATTTTTTTTTGTGCATCCCGCGGCGTCCATATTCATGAAATTTATATATTCTGCTAGCGTATTTACTGAACCTTTAGTGCTGTGATTTCTAGCTGGTTATTCATGAGGTCGCGTTTTCTCATTGGCATAAAACTTTTCTTATCACTTGTTTTGTGAGTAAAAACGTGCTGCCACCAGGGCTGGAACCGCAGACCACCCTCTGGCTGACACACGTTACCACTACACCACACACACTTGCCCAGCTACTGTTTACTGCCTTCTGCTGCACATCCCTTCGATCAACACTGCCGCTTTGTATCGCATTCCAACTTACTAGCATTTACTACATTTCAACCCAAACCATTGCAATTTATTTCTCTGTCGTTTTATTCCGGAACTAAAGTGTATTATAAGTCCTTCCCACACCGTACGACAACCTCCCCCCATTTGAATTTCACTGCTGCGCTACCGTTACGCTTAACTGTCTGCCGGGTATACCTTGTTCCTACCATTGCTGTCACGAACTGTTACTGCTGCTGTAATTTCGTTGCTCACCTGGCTGTAAGTTAATGTTTATGCTTTATTATTACTGTATGATTTTAGAACCACGAATATTACCAATGTCGATAAACATTGCTACCATATTGGACTTTGTTCTGCTGCCCGTGGCGGTGTTCTGCCTTTATCGTGCGTATAGCTATCGAAACCAAGTTGCCGAGAAATTTCAGTCTGCTAAGGCGTGACAGCATAAAGTTAGCAAGTAACCAATCGGTTTTCGGATTTATTACTGTTATCCGCAAAAAAATCAGAAACTTTATGAAAATGGAGTCTGTCTCGGTCTTACACAGTAAGTCACCTTCGTCCCGAGCTACCTCGACTGAGTTGAAACTGGAACAGGAGCTCAAACTGGCTCAACTATGCATTAAGAAGTTGGAATTGGAGGCAGAAACCTCCAAATGTATCAGTGAAGCTGAACGGAACCTCACGAAACAGATCAGTATGCTGGAGGAGGAGGAGCTGTCAGTCGTTTCAGGCCACAACTCACGACCACGTTCTCCACAGCATGGTGAGAAGCTGAAACGGGTCAGGGAATATGTAGAGTAGCTACCAACGTCAAGCCACGACCGTGCTGAACCCGTACCCTCCAAAGAACCCGGAATCCGTGTTTTGCCCCAGAGATCCGCCAACCTAGGCGGAACCGCCCAGCTTCTACAGGCTTGTATGAGCCTTCCTACTCGACGGCTGGTCAGGTTCGACGGAAACCCAATGAACTACTTCGGCTTCATTCGAAGCTTTCAGATCACGGTTGCCCGATACACATCTGACCCTGCTTGCCTCTTGGACCACCTAATCTCGGCTTGCGAAGGCGAAGCAGCCGAGGCAATCCAAAGGTGTACGGACCTGGAGCCTCAGGAAAGTTACGAAGAAGCACTGCATATTCTAGAACGGCGTTTCGGTGGACCTCATATGATCGCGAGGTATCTGATGAAGCAGCTGCGCCGTAGCTGGACTCATCTACACAAGCCGACAGACTCATCACGACTGAAAAATCGGAAACCAGAAAGCCAAACAACAATGTCCGACAAGCTTCAATAAAGACAACACAAGCCAACACTGAAAGCGATGACAACCGACGAAAACACCCCAATGCTTGCCCGATTTGTAATGAAGTCCACTACCTCGACCTGAGCCATGAGTTCTAAAGG